CACTCAGTATTATAGACTCTAAGTCCATCTGGATTGCTGTGAAGTTCATGATTTTGTTCTTCTTTATGGCTACGTAATATTCCATTGTGTATATATGCCACGTTTTCTTTATCCAGTCTACTTTCAATGGGCAGTAGGGTTGGTTCTATGTTTTTGCTATTGTGAATAATGAAAAAATACAGGTAACCCCCAGATCCTAAAGAGACAGCACCCAAAAAGACACCTGCATTTCAGGTTTCCCTTCCGCATATCTCTCTCTCTGCACCTCTTGTTGTTCTGTCTCTATGTCTTGGTCTGATTTTTTTTTTTGAGTTGGAGTCGCCCAGCCTGGAGTGCAGTGGCATGTTCAGAGCCACCCCAGCATCAACCTGCTAAGCTCAGGCGATCCTTCTGCCTCGGCCTTCCAAGTAGCCGGAACTACAGATGCATGTTACTGTACCCGGCTAATTTATTTATTTATTTATTGTAGAGACAAGGTCTAGCTGAGTTGCCCGGGCTGGTCTTGAACCCGCAGGCTCAGGCAATCCACTTGCCTCAGTCTCCCAAAGTGCTGGGATTACAGGCTGAGCCACTGCGTCCAGCCTAGTCTGACTTTCTTTGTGCCTCTGTGTGTCTCTCTGGTCTTGTCTTTGACTCTTTCTCTCAGACTCAGTCTCATGTTCTCAATTCATTCTCCTTTCACACCCTCATCTGTCTCTGTGACTCCCCTCTCCTTTGCCTCACTGATACTCTATGTCTCTCTGACTATATTTCCATCTTTATATTCTTTTTTTTTTTTGAGTCAGAGTCTCACTCTGTCGCCCAGACTGGAGTGCAGTGGCCGCTCCCGGCCACCGCAGCCTCGACCTGCTGGGCTCCGGCGATCCTTCCGCCTCAGCTTTCCAAGTAACCGGAATTACAGGCATGCGCTACCACGCCCGGCTGATTTTTTGATTTATTGTAGAGATGAGGTCTCGCTGCCCAGGCGGGTCTCGAGCCCACAGGCAATCCACTCACCTCAGCATCCCAAAGGCGCAGGATTACAGGCTGAGCCACCGAGCCCAGCTCATCTTTATATTCTTATTTCTAAACTTTTTCCTTGAAGTTTCTAGACTTTTGTCTGTGTCTTTAGCTTCCTTGCTTTCTCTCTCTTTTTGTCTATGCTCTCTATTTCTCTCTGGCTGACTTTTCTGCCTCTTACTCTCTCTCTCTCTCTCTCTCTCTCTCTCTCTCTCTGTCTCTCTCTCTGTCTCTCTCTCTCTTCTTCTTCTTCCCAGTCCCCTTGTCTCATTTGCTTTCTCTTCTCCTGTCTCTGTCTCCCTCTCATCTCTCTCCCTCAACCTGTCTCTGAATCTTTATGTCTCTGGCTATCAGTCATGCTCTGTCTCTCTCCGTTTTCATCATGCCAACACCCTGCCCTGTCCCCTGGGACTCACCCTGAGATTTCCACAGTTCCTCCACCAAATACTGAGCCTCCTCTTTGATTTGCTCCTCAGTGTTGCACGTTCCCATACTAAAGTCTTTTATGGTAGTCAGACAGAACCACCAAAGGACTTTCCAAGATGTTCCATTGACAAAGATCAAACTGATGGATAAGGCCTAGAGGGAAGGTTGGAGGGACACATGGGATGTCCTGTCCTCTCTTCCCCAGTCTCTACCCCCATCCCCCACTCACCAGCTCCCTGAAGAGTCCGTGATAGCCAGAGAAAGCCTCAGCCTGATCCACCAAGACCTCCCGCATCACCTCCTGTTCACACAAGAAGACAGCAGGCCGGGGTAGACTGTGAAGATGTCTTCATATTTCTCCCACAGCTGCGGAAGTAGGGTCCAGATCTCACTCACCCAAGAGAAGAATTGTTAGGGTATGGACGGACAGGGTGAGAGTGGAGAGGTGGAAAGAGGTGCAGCAATGCTGGGGCTGGCAAGGTGGAGGTGCGTGCTGGCAACCCAGAGATCCGAGTAAATTGCAAAGAATTGCGACACATAGAGGTGAGAAAAGAAAAGATTTATTTAAGAAAAGTTCACCCCCCACAGACAGGGAGCGGGCCTACACTCTAGGTGAGGGTGGCATTGTAGCCTCCCAAAGCCCTGACTTAAATCCTTTTCCTTGGAGATGTTGCACGTGACTGCCGTGACTTCCCTGTTGACCACCTGTGGATGTCTTGGAGAACCTGTGATCAGAGACCCATTAATGTCCACCCACATCATCGTAGCCCCTAGAGAAGGGCGTGACAAGGATTCTAATGCTCCTGCACCTTCCCCAATGACATTCCTTAGAGCTAGTGGAGGGTGCACCTCCGTTTATCTCCTAGGCATTCGCAGTGAGTAGCTTCATGGAATCCTTGGCTTCCCTGTAGATAGTGCCCAATTTACTAGAAGATTGAACCCCCACCTGCTCCCCCTCTGAGCGGTCATAACTTTTGTAATTACAAGTTTCATGACTTTTACAGTCCTTGCCCAATGCATGATGTCTTAGGCCTTGCAAATGCCCCTTACTCTAGGCAAGTTTGATTGACACTATGAGATACCTGACACCAGGAAGTCTGTTCCTAAAAAGACAAAGTCAGCAAAGTTAATTTTACTTAAGTGTGCATTTCTCCAAAAGCATAGCTTCTGCTTTCTCATCATTGTATTAAGATTTAGGAAGAAGAGTAAAGAAAAATGCATTCCCCGCTCTCGGTCTGTCCTTTCAAGGATCTTCTTCTCTCACACCTGGATCACAGCCTAAACCTTCCAATGCAGCCCAAACACCCCTGGCTTCAGCCCTATCTGGGAAAAATGGGGACTTGAATTTCATAACCTCATTTGAGCCTCCCACACATGCTCTTGCCCCAAATGTCTTTGTTCCTAAACTTTTCCAAGAACTCTCCCAACTTTGAATTCCCCGCCTCCCCCACACCCAATCTCTAGTACCTCTCCTTCCTTGCTCCTCCCCCCACAACCTGGACCACAAATCAAAGTCCCAATTCTATCAGAAGTTCCCTTTCCAGTCTGCCTTCCCTCCATTCCTTCTCATAAGAATTCCAAAAGCATCTCTAGTGGGCCTATTAGGCCAGACCATGGCTAGAAAAGAATTCTGAAGTTAGTCTGCAGATATCCACCCAAAATTTGACCCTAACTTGCTGCCTCTGAGGCTGGTCTCCCTTACATCTACCTGCTGTTGTTCCACCCCTCTCCTCCCCATTTCACCGCCTAGAAGAACTTGAGGAAAACCTTATGGTCTGTTTGAAAAATGTTCCCCAGAAAGGACAGAAGCCAGGGTCCAGGAGTGAGGCAGTCGTGGAAGGTGGGATAGCCCCAGACCCAGAGTAGCAAGAAGCCAGCCAGGGCAATGAAGAATGAGAAGGTTGAGGACACCATGGCCCTCTCTCCACCAGCCTTTCATTCTTCTGTCCCTCTTAAAAGAAAGGTTGCTCTGTTTGTTGTTTTATCTCTGTGGTTGATGGGGAAAGGTGTGCCAGGAATCTGGCTTGGCAGAGCGCCTGCCAACTCTTCAGAGCCTATGGGGAGTGCAAAGGCCGCAGGCAGAGGCCAACAGGTTAGTGTCTCAGGGTTGAGTCTGAAAGCTGGCTTTCCATTGGTCACTTGTTGGCTGAGGTATCGTTTATGGGCAATGCCCTCAAGCTCACAGCATCTCCCTCAAGAAAGAGTGGTGGTCCTAGCTGACGGGATGTGTGGAGGCTAGATTTAGAGCAGTTACACTCCAAGGGGGGCTCTTGGGCAGTTTTGTCAGGGAGTGGCATTGCAGCACGAGGAACCGAGAGTGGTTGACAGGCAGAATTGGGGGCATCCTGTGCCCTTTGGGGACAGAACTTTATTCTGGGCATGATAAGAGTGAGATATAGAGGAGATAAGGTCTGATGGAGAGGCCTGACTCCATTTTGTGTGAATTTGGGGGGTGGTCGCTTTAGCCATTCATTTATTCTTTCTTCTGCAAATGTTTGAACACCAATCATATGCCACATACTGATCCAAGTGTGATGAACATAACAGTGGGTTGGCCCCTCACAGAGTTGGCAATTAGGTGAGGAAAAGGTTCTCACCAAAAGTCCTTCCGGAAAAATCCCTGGGACCTGACAATAAATGACTCACACACAAAATGGCACAGATCGCCTCCAAACCCAGGGAGGTTTGAGATGTTTATTTGGTTCTCACTGTATGTGGAAGGAAATTATCAGGGAATCCAAGGCGCCCGTGTAGAATCACACAGCTCAGGGGGCACTGGCTGAGGAGGCCCTTTTGCCGCGGGGGAAAAGTAAGAAGAGGCAGCTGAGAGTGAGAATGAGCGAGGACTATGTTGGTGTATGACTGTGGTCTACAACGTGGATAAACCTCAAAAGCGTTGCGCGAAGTGAAACACACCAGACACAAAAAGGCCAATGTTATAGGATTCCATTTACAGGAAATGTCCAGAATAGGTAAGTCCATAGAGACAGAAAGCAGGTATGCGTTCACCAGGGGCTGGGGAGAAATTGGAATGGGAAATAACTGCTTAATAGATGCACGTTTTTGTGGGAGGGAGGATGAAAATGTTTAGAGCTAGATGTGCTGGTTGTACAACATTGTGAATGAGCCAAATGCCACTAGATCGTACACTTTAAAATGGCTAATTTTAGTTATGTGAATTTCATCTTAATTTAAAAACATGTATATACGCTGAGTGCAGTGGCTCTTAGCACTTTGGAAGGCTGAGGTGGAAGGATTGCTTGAGGCCAGGAGTTCGAGATCAGCCTGAGCAACACAGCGAGACCTCATCTCTGCAACAACAACAACAACAAAAATATCAAAAAATTAGCCAGACATGGTGGCATACAACTGTAGCCCCAGCTACTTGGGAGGCTGAGGCAGGAGGATCACTGGAGCCCAGGAAGTAAAGACTGCAGTGAGCTGTGATTATGCCACTGCACTCCAGCCTGGGCAACAGAATGAGAACCCGATTCAAAAAGATACATATTACTATATCTTTTCATAGATAGTTGAAAAGGAGTTATGAGGAGTTTGGATTCTAGAGCCAGATGTGCATCTTGCTCCTCCACTCTCTGGGGACCTGACCCGAGACAGATGCTGATGTGGAAGGGGAAAGATACCGTCTGGCAGCAGGTCTCTCAGAGGCAGGGAGCTGTGGAGGAAGTCAGGAGCCATTGTCTACAGAGGTGGGGACACTTAATGACCCTGGAATCCTTTGACCTCCTTCCCTCAGCTCCTTCAGCGGGGCAGGAAGCGGATCTGGTATGTCGGGGCTACTTTGCCCACACCGCTCTCCTGCGGTGTGAGGTCGATGTTCTCAGGAGCCACGGGGCTGGCCAGGGAGAAGCTCTGGAGGATGGTGGTGAAGAAGAGGAACAATTCGGAGCGGGCGATGCCTTCACCAAGACAAACGCGCTTCCCTGTGGGGACAGAAGATCACCCGCGTGAGTACAGACGGGGTGCACTTTTTTGCCCTGACACAGCCCTAAGCCCAGACACCTGTGTCTACTGCAACCACCTTGCATGAGATTAACCTTTAACCTGCAATTTCAGGGTGGACTTTTAAGGTGTTCCCAAACTCTCCAACACTGGGTGCAAATCTTCCGGTGGTTATGCCACGTTCATCCTTCTAGAAAAGAGTTTATAAGCTTCTGTTAGATTTCCTAAGGGTCCAGTAATACCAGAGGGTATAAAGACCCACGTTGGGCCTGGCTTGGTGGCTCAGCCTGTAATCCCAGTTTTGGGAGGCCGAGGCAAGTGGATTGCCTGAGCCCGCAAATTTGAGACCAGCCTGGGCAACTTGCTGTATCGCTTCTACATGTATCGCTTCTACAATACATGAAAAACTAGTCAGGCACAGTAGCACATGCCTGTAATTCCAGCTACTTGGAAGGCTGAGGTGGAAGGATTGCCTGGACCCAGCAGGTCGTGGTTGCGGTGGCCGTGAGCGTGCCACTGCCCTCCAGCTGGGTGACAGAGTGAGACTCTAACTCAAAAAAAAAAAAAAAAGACCCATTTCTGGTTGAGTTTGTGTGTGTGTGTGCATGCGTGCACACTCACCTCTATATATGTAGGTGTGAGCATAACTCTGACAACATTTTTTAGTGTTTTTCATTTCTCATATGGGGAGAATGGTACCTATCTCATAGGGCTCTGGTGAGGTTAAAGAAAATATGTGTAAAAATGTTTAGAATGGCACCTGGCTTATATTAAGCATGCTATAAGTATAGTTAATGCCTTGTGTTTGTTTCTGGGAGTGTGTATGGGGTGTGTGTTCCTGGCACTGTGTGTGTGTGTGTATGTGTGTGTATGTGTGTGTGTGTGTCTGGGTTGCCTTCTTGTCCCGTCCTGAGATCCACAGATTTCTAGGGTTCTGAATAAAAAGCCCAAATTGAATGTAAAATTGTGAATGGGATCAATGCCCATAGTGGGGGAATGGGGATTATGGCATCCATCGATTCTCAGAGGTGTAAGGAACCACCAGTAGGAGGAAAATGAGAACAAAGGGGCTGGAAAAATCTGTCTTTTTACTTCGGTGTCTCTTCATCTGCAAACCTTGAAAAACCACATCAAGAACAGGTTTCCAGGTATTCCCTATGCTTTTCAAGTTGTTGGGCAATTGTGCCTATGTGGAGGGATCTGGGCAAAGGTCCATGTCTTCATGACACATCCGGAAAGCAGGAAACATGAGCTTAGACATTTTTTCAGAACAGCCTCATGTCTGTTATCTTCCTCCCCATTCCTGAGGCTGTTGATTTGGACACCCTTTATAATCTCTTTGGCTCCAACAACCTTTAGGCTTGGTTTGTCTTTTTTCTGCTAATGGCAGACGGCATATGGCTTTTTCTCTGCCTATACCTGTCAGGCACGGTTCCTCTGTCTCTCTTTTCTTTTCCTCTTCTTTTTTCTGCTTTGCTACATCTTCTCTCTCTCTCTCTCTCTCTCTCTCTCTCTCTCTCTCTCTCTCTCTCATATTTTTCATCTCCCTTTAAAGATACCTTGTCTCTATACAAGATGGAGTATTATGCAGCCATAAAGAAGGACAAAATCATGAACTTTGCAGCAAATTGGATGGAGTTGGAGACCATCATACTTAGTGACCTATCACAGAAACAAAGAACCAAATGTCCCACATTCTCACTCATAAGTGGGACCTGAACATTTATCACAATAGCACAAGGGAGGGATTGGCAGTTGGGGGGCACTGTCAGGGGAAGGATAGGGGCACATAACACAAAGGCTACCTGGTCCTAAACCAAGGGAAATGAAGAGCAGTTGGAGGCCCAAAATTCACCTGCAAGTAGATTGCTTATGTTCCTGACTTATACCCCATATCTCTATAATAAAATAAAGTTATTTTAACAAATAAAATAAAGATACCTTGTCTCTCTTACTCCTTCTGTATCCTCCTCTCTCCTTATGCTTTCTCTTTTTTCTACCTCAAATTCTGCTTCTTTCCTTCCTTTTTTTCCTTCTCCTTTCTCCCTTCCGCCTCTCTCCTCTGTCCTGTCCTCCCCTCTCTCCTTTTACTCTTCCTCTTCCTCCTTCTCCTTATCCATCTTTGTCTCTGTCTCTCTCTCTCTTCTTCTCTCTCTGTTGTCTCATGTTCACTGTCTGTCTCTATCTGCCACTATTTCCCTATCCCTATCTCTCCATGTCTCTCTTTGTCCCTCTCTCTGCCTCTCACCTCTCATTATCTCTGTGACTTACTTATTTGTCTCTGCTTTATTTCTATACATCTCTGCCTCTCAAAACTTATGACAGGACTATTGAATGAAAGAATTGACCCTCGTTTTACCACTCCATATGTTCCCAACTCTTACTGAAGACAAAATGAGGAAGGAGGAAATTGCATTGTGCAGAGCCAGTGGGTGGACCAGAGCTGTGATCACTAAAGTTGCTGATGAAACGCAAGACTGGGAATTTTTGGGGGGGAGTGGGGATGGCAGGGGCCTTCCATGGCTGAAGCCTGTTACATTAAATTTTTTTTTTTTTGAGTTGGAGTCTCACTCTGTCACCCAGACTGGAGTGCAGTGGCCGTTCCTGTCCACCGCAGCCTCAACCTGCTGGGCTCCGGTGATCCTTCCACCTCAGCCTTCCAAGTAACCGGAATTACAGGCATGTGCTACCACGCCCAGCTAATTTTTTGATTTATTGTAGAGATGAGGTCTCACTGCCCAGGTGGGTCTCGAACCCTTAGGCTCAGGCAATCCACTCACCTCAGCCTCCCAAAGGCGCAGGATTACAGGCTGAGCCACCGAGCCCGGCTTACATTAAATTAAATTTGGCCTAAAGCTGCCTCCATACATAAGGAACTATAACCTAACTTAATATGTAAACTAACTGCAACCTAACTTGAGAGGATATTCTGGTAAGAAGTAACCAAGTTTTGGCCAATCGCAGCAGCCAAGTTTCAGCCAATCACAGGCCTCAAACTGTTCAGACATGTCCAAACAATGCAAACACGAAGCTGTAACCAATCAGGTTGTTTCTGTATGTCATTTCTTTTTTTCTGTGAATAAATGCTGCCTGGTCACATTGCCAGGAGGAACTCTCTGAACTTTTACTTGTTCAGGGTGATGCCCAATCCATGAATTGTTTCTTTGCTCACATAGACTCTGTTAAATTTAATTTGTTTAAAGTTTTTTCTTTTTCTCTCTTAACAAACCAAAGGGTAGAGCATGGAAATTGGGACAAGTCAGAGCATGTTTAGATCTTCCAGCCTTTCCAGGGCTAGAGTATAAATCCAAGCTCCTCCCCCAGCCTTCAAGGCCCTGCCCTGATGAGCTCTTCATTTTATTCCTTTTGTAATCTACACGCCAGGCTCACAGGGATTCTTATATTTTCTCAAATATGCCATTATGTTTCCACCTTCAGGCTCTGCTCCTGCTGTTTCCTCTGCCTGCCTAAAACATTCTTTCCAATGGCTGATTCATACTTACTCACCCATGAAGGTCTCAGGTTAGAAGTCAGATTCTCAGGCAAGCCTTTCCTCACTGCACCACCATTATCAGTCGGTATTTTCTATTTTGTGCTCCCAGAGTCTCTTTTAGAGCACTTATCACAATTATGATTAACTATATATGTAATTGTGATTAACTACAATCATAATTGCCCCTGTGAGCATTTATTTTGTGCCAGGCAATTCCAAGTATGCTGCAGGCATGAATTCACTTAATTAGATCCCTATTTTGTTATTATTTGATGAATGCCTATCTTCCTTGTTGGACTGTAAATTTTCTGGGGCAAGAACTGTGTTTTTATGTCACTTTTATGTGACTATAAATTTTCTAGGGCAAGAACTGTGTTTTTATGTCACTTGTTTGATGCATTATCTTCAGTGCTCAATAGACCTCTGGGCTCATAGTGGTGCTCAAAAGATTTTTTTTAAAAAGTTAGTTCACGCCGGGCTCGGTGGCTCAGCCTGTAATCCCAGCGCTTTGGGAGGCTGAGGTGAGTGGATTGCCTGAGCCCGCGGGTTCAAGACCCGCCTGGGAAACTTGGTGAGACCTCATCTCTACAATAAATAAAATTTAGCCAGGCGTGGTAGCACGCGCCTGTAGTTCCAGCTACTTGGAAGGCTGAGGCGGGAGGATCGCGGGAGCCCAGCAAATCAAGGCTGCGGTGGCCAGGAGCGGCCACCGCACTCCAGTCTGGGCGACAGAGTGAGACTTCGACTCAAAAAAAAAAGTTAGTTCACTGAGGTTTAGCGATGTTAAAATATTTGCCCAAGGTCCTACTTGCCAAGATGTGCCTTTAGGATGTAATCTCATTTCTCAAGCCCTCCCACAGGGTGGTAGTTAAGGTGGAATGAAATAATTGTAGGCAAAGCAATTGGAATACATTAATACTAAGTGCTCAACAAACAAGAACTTATCATTGTCTCAAGGAAGGGATAGAACCTACACTTTAGTGTCTGGGAAAGGGACTGTGGGTCTAGCTTACCTACGGAAAAGGGAATAAAAGCTTCATTCTTCTTCAGTGCTCCATTGGCATCCAGAAAGTGGTTAGGGTTGAAGGTGTCTGGTGTCTCAAAGTAACGTGAGTCATGGAGAGCAGAGGTCAGGATGGGAAATACTTCTGTGTTCTGAGAGAGTCACAAGATGAAAAGATGTTGTCATATCCTGGCCTCCCCATACAACAACAACAAAAAAGAAAAAGTAAAACAAGGGGATCTTATCCAACAAGAGGTTGAGATTTAGGATTAAGAAAAACCCAGGATGCCCACACAGGAGAGATGTGAGAGCTTGGCTGGTCTCACCTTGGGGATGATGTACCCTCGGAAGTTAGTGTCTTTGGTGACCTTGTGGGGCAAACTGAAGGGGAGAAGGTCCCCGAATCTCTGAATCTCATGGATAACTGCATCCGTGTATGGCATTTTGGCTCGGTCATCAAGGGCTGGAGGGCGATGTGAGCCAATCACCTGATGGATCTCCTTGTGAACTCTCTCTGCATAGAAAAGGGGATTAGTGAACCCCATTTCAAAGAGATATTTCAGCAAGCTTTCTATGGGCCAATGGGCCAAGAAAAGCCTATGGCAAGGGGTTAGATCATTGATATACCTCAAAGCAATCTTCCTGGGGTAGAGGGAAGAGGGAGGAAGCAGCAGGAATTATCATCCTTTGAATCAAATGAATGTTATGGATTTTCTCCTCACATGCACATGCAATACCCACACCACAATTTTGCATGAAATTTCAAATTAAAACTCCAGGCTAACAACGTGTCAAAATTCCCTCTCTAAGATAAGTAGAAATGAGCTAACATTTATTGTGCATATATTATAGGTGAGGTACTATGCTAGGTCCTCAGGAATATACAGGGGAATAGATCAATCAATGGCTAGATCAATTCATGAATAGAAAGACTGATGCATGAATGAACACACTAATAAATGGATGTGTGTATTCACTTATCAATCAATAGATGGATCAACTAATGAATCACAATCAATGGTCTGTAGACAAATAAGTCAGTGAACCCAGTTAATCAATAATAACATAAATGGGCTGAGGACAGTGGCTCACATCTGTAATCTAGCACTTTGGGAGGCCAAGGTGGATGGATTGCTTGAGCCCAGGAGTTCAAGATCAACCCAGGCAACATGGGAAAACCTTGTCCACAAAATAATCAAAAAATTAACCAAGCATGTTGATGCATGCTTTTAATCCCAGCTACTTGGGATGCTGAGGTGAAAGGATTGCCTGAGCCCAGGAGGCTGAGGCTGCCACAAGCTATGATCATTGTGGTCATAACATCCTGGGTGACAGAGTGAGACCCAACTCTAATAATAATAATAATAATAATAATAATAATAAATGAATAGATAGATTTATGGAAAAATAAGTGAATGAGTAAGTAGTGAAGTATGTGTAAATAAATAAATGGATGGGCAGACTGAATAATACATAAATCAGGGATAAATGATTGAATTATTAAGTGGAAAAATAAAGGAATGGATAGATGGATAAATTGAAAGACTGACTGGCAGAAGAACTAAGGATCATGAACCTAGTTCATAGAAGGATGGATAAATGCATGCCTGCAGGAATGAATAAGCCAATGAATCAATGACAAACAGTGCATTCAACATATCCCTGTTTCAAAGAATCAATTTGCGAATCAAATAATTCAAATAAATAAATGACTGTGTATGTCCTTGGATGAATCATAGATGAAAGAATCAGTGAGTATGCAGGTGAATTAATTAATTCCAGGATGGGTGGATGAACAGATGGATGAATGAATGGGTCAATCTTTAAGTGATGGCACAGAAAGTAAAATGCCACAAGTTCTCACTCAAATGTGGGTGCTAAAAATGTGTATACATGGAAGCAGAGAGTGGAAGAATAGACTCAGAAAAGTGTGAGGGTGGAAGGGGGTGGATGATAAGAAATTACTTAATGGGTACATTGTACGTTAGTTGGGTGATGAATACCCTAAAAGCCCTGACTTGACCACTATGCAATCTATAAATATAACAAACATATACATGTACTCCATAAATTTGTACAAGTTTTTAAAAATGTAGAGCGAAGGCTGGGCTTGGTGGTGCAGCCTGTAATCCCAGCACTTTAGGAGGCTGAGGCAAGTGGATTGCCTGAGCCAGAGGGTTCAAGCCCATCCCCAGCAACTTGGCGAGACCTCGTCTCTACAACAAATCAAAAAATTAACTGGGCTTGGTAGCGTGCACCTGTAGTTCCGGTTACTTGTAAGGCTAAGGTGGAAGGATTGCCGGAGTCCAGCTAGTCGACACCGGGGTGGCTGTGAGCGTGCCACTGCATCCCAGCCTGGGTGACAGAGTGAGACTCCAACTCAAAAAAAAAGAAAATGTAGAACAAAGAAAATCTTTAAGTGTTGGGAGAAAACAGTGGGAGAGCAGACTGAGAGATTCTCATGCATCCGTTCACAGAACTGACTTAGTTGGAGGCCACTCCAAAGCCCACAGTGCTCCTGGAATGAAGCTAGTGCTACCTCTCTCATCCAGGCAGAAACCCCAGCCCCACTTCTGCAGCTCAGAAGGGGGTCAGAAGACCCTGTTGCTTGGCTGTCCCTGGCCCACCTGCGATGTGAGGGTATTTGAGCATGAGCAGGAAGCCATAGCGGAGTGTGGTACTGGTGGTCTCGGTGCCAGCGAAGAAGAGTGAGAGCGTGTTGAGGATGAGGTTCCGCTGGTTGAACTCACTGTTCGCGTTGGATTTCTCCTGGGTCCAGAGTGGGAGGGGCAGGAGAGAAAGGGTCAGGGAAGACTGTGGTCTCTCCACATGTATGCCAGTCTCTCTGGACGCACTCCAACTCTTTCACTCTATCTCTTTCACTAGCTGGCCCTTTCTGTCTTTTGCATGTGCAACCATATATCCCTGTCTCTCACGGCCTCTCTTAACTCTGGCTGGCTCTGTTTCTCTCTCTCTCCCTGTCTCCTTTTGTCTTCCAGTCCCTTTCTGCCTCTGAGGGTCTTTTGTCCTGTTGTTGCATTTTTGTCCCTTGCCCTGAATTTCTTCCTCAGTCAGCCCTGTCTGTCTGTCTGTTTGTCCCTCTTCTTCTCTCCATCTCCCTCTCCATTTTCCGCTTCCCCACCACTCCCCGTCTCTGTTTCTCCTCTCTACTTTCTCCTTCCTTTCACCTCACCTTTCTTTCCCTTCTGCATCTCCTCCTCTATCTTTCCCTATTCCCCATCTTCTGTTCTTTCCTCCCCCTTTTCCTTTTCCCTACCCCTTAACCTTCCCTTCTTCTCACCTCTCCATCTTGCCGTCCGTTTTCCCTCTTCCCTTCCCCTTTCCCTCTTCCAGTCCTCACTTTTTCCATGCGGAGCAAGTAGGCATCAATAAGGTCCCCGGGAGCACTGGGGTCCAGGGTTTCACGGTGCTTTTCCACACTGCGGCCAATGAAGGCATTGACTTCCTCGATGTTTTTGTAGATTTGCCTGTGTGCACCAGGAAAGTACTTCAAGAAGTCAGAGAAGAGCTCGAACAACTGCAAGAAAAAAGGGGTGATGAGGTATGCCTGGGGCTGAGCCAGCAGGTCAACAGGGAGAGGGCAGCCCTCCTGGGCCCCAATACCTCTGTGTGGATCCTCACCCATGTCTTCACCCCATTTGTCTGAGTCTCTCATCCAATGACTCTGTGTCCCAGTTGATCTTTTATCCTCATATTTAACTCTTTCTGCATCTACTTCCCTCATCCTTGTGTTTTGTTTGTTTGTTTGTTTTCTGTTTTTGTTTTTGAGTCTGAGTCTCACTCTGTTGCCCAGGCTGGAGTGCCGTGGCACATTCACAGCCACCCCAGCATCAACCTGCTGGGCTCAGGGGATCCTTCTGCCTCAGTCTTCCAAGTAGGTGTGCACTACCATGCCCAGTTAATTTTTTGATTTATTGTAGAGAGACGAGGTCTCACCAAGTTGCCCTGGTCACGAATGCCTGGGCTCAGGCAATCCTCTCTCCTCTGCCTCCCAAAGTGCTGGGATTACAGGCTGAGCCACCATGCCCGGCCCATCCTAGTGTCTTTTTGTTGGTCTCTCTTCTGTCCATCTTTCTGTATCTCTGTGTCTCACTTTCTTATCATTTATCTGTGCCTCTCATTGTCTACCTCAGCCTGTTTATTTGTGTTTCTCATACTTCTCTCCTCTTCCTCCCATTTCTCATCTCACTTGCTGTGTCAGGCACTGATAAAATGATATACGTGATAAGCCTCTAGATTGCTTAGGACTATATATTTATTCTGGAGCGTATTTCTCTTGTTTTCTCTGGTAAGAAATGAAGTACCTGCTGCTGGAGAGGGTGTGGTGAAAAGGGAACACTTCTACACTGCTGGTGGGAGTGTAAGCTAGTGCAACCTCTGTGGAAAGCAGTGTGGCGATTCCTAAAAGCTCTAAAAATTGACCTTCCA